TTAAACTCTTATTGCCCAGGCTGGAGTGCAATGGCACAATCTCGGCTCACCGCAACCTCCACCTCCCGGGTTTAAGCAATTCTCCTGCCTCAGCCTCCCGAGTAGCTGGGATTACAGGCACGGGCCACCACATCCAGCTAATTTTGTATTTTTAGCAGAGACGGGGTTTCTCCATGTTGGTCAGGCTTGTCTTGAGCTCCTGACCTCAGGCAATTCACCCACCTCAGCCTCCCAAAGTGTTGGGATTACAGGTGTAAGCCATCGCACTTGGCTTCTTTTTGCACACTTAATGGAAATAACTTATTGCCAGTTCTCTAAATAGCCTCAAACGTGTACATAGGCCTTATAGTCTAAGAAAATGCAGGCAATCTCAAAACTGATAGAGCAAGAAAGAAACAATTATGTGCTGCATCTCCTGGGTTTATAGGGAGACTTCTAAAATTCAGCTACTATTTAGAAGTAGTTCATTGCTATGATGGTTAATTTTATGTGGTCACTTATCTGGGCTAAGGGATGCCCAGATAGCTGGTAAAATATTATTTTGGGGTTTGTCTGTGAGGGTGTTTCCAGAAAAGATTAACATTTGAATTGGTTAACTGAGTAAAGAAGATCACCCTTACCAATGTGGGTGAACGTCATCCAATCTGTTGAGAACCTGAATAGAACAAAACAGTGGGGGAAGAGTAAGTCTGCTGCCTTGGCTTGAGGAGAGATATCTGTCTTCTCCTGCCCTCAGACATGGGTGCTCCTAGTCCTTGAGCTTTCAGACAAATACTGGGAGTTATGCCATCAGGCTCCCCAATTCTTAGGCCTTCAGACTCAGACTGAATTATATCACCTGCTTTCCTTATCAGCTTGCAGACCATGGATTGTGGGATTTCTCAGCCTCTATAATCACGTAAGCCGATTCCTATAATAAAACTCTTTTTACAGATCTCATTATATATAGCCTATTGGTTCTGTTTCTCTGGAAAATGCTGACTAATGTGCTTGCCAAAATCTGAAGCTCAAGACTGGAGCTCAGGATGGGACTGCTTCTATATACATGCAAAAAGACGCAGAAGACGAGTCTAATATATTGGACATAGGAGCCACAGGGTAATTGGAAGGGTTGTCAAAATCTTAAGGGCAAAATGCACAATGAAAAGACAGAATAAATTCATGCTTAGGTTGTTAGGTGCAATGGTGACTGGGTTTTGTTTCCATTTCATCCACTTAATAGCTTGGTGATTTAAGGCAATTTACTTAACGGAGTTGGTGTCAGTCAGCCTAGGCTAAATGTGCTGCAGTAACAAATAACACCCAAATCTCAGTAGCATAAATAAACAAACAAAAGTTTTATTTCTCACCCACTGTCCCCAAATTTTACTCTGGTACCCAGGCTGAGGAAACAACCCCTATCTGGGACATACTGATCTTGTAGCAGAATGAAAAAATAAATGACAGAATCACATAATGACTCAAGTTTCTGCTCTGAAGTGGATTACATCACTGCTGCTCATAATTTATTGACCAAAGCAAGTTATGCAGCAAAGCCAGGCATCAGAAAGGTGGGGAAGCACGGCAAATGCTTGAAAGCAAGACAATCTACTACAGATGTCTCCTGCTCTTCCATCTGTAAAATGGGAATTGTAACAGTATTTGCCTCAAGTTTGTAGTGAGATTCAATTAGGTGACATTTGTAACATGACTGGCATGTGGTAAGTACTAAAGATGGTAGCCATTATTATGATCTTGCCAGCACATATCTGTAAATGATGTTTTCCTTCAAAAACACAATCTACTTACTATTTGGGATATTTTTATATTTAATGTTGCTTCCAGCACTCACTCTGGTTAACAGCGGTTTGATACTAACCTCCATGCATCTTTCCAGATTTGTTTGCTTTGTTTTCTCCTTAGGTTAAAATCCGAGAAGTGGAATTTCTGGGTATACTCTTCTCCTAGGCTTCTGATATAAATTATCAAAATCCCCTCCAGAAATGCACCTATTTGTAAATCTCACCAGCAGGGCAGCTCTCACTCAATATGATCATTTTTTCCCTATCTTATAATCTATAGGTGGCAAATGGTATTCAATTACTACTTTAATGAACATTTCTTAGATAACTCATAAAGAAGAACTTTGCATAGGTTTATCGGCCACTTCTATCTTTTCTCTTGTGAGTATAACTAGTTTTCAAATATACATGGGAACTACTGTGATTTTCTTAAAAAGTCACTTAAAATAGTCACAAATATGAAATTATACCAAATAATTATCATGAAGTTTGTTAGATTCAAAAGTGACAATGTAGTTATGTAAGAAATTGTCCGTATTCCTTAAGATTCCTGCTGGTGTGCGTAGGGGTGAAGTGATCTGATACATGGATATACCAGAAAGAAAACAAAGAGATGAAGCAAACACTGGTAATTGTTGAATCTGGATGAATCTAGATAGAGTTCACTGTACTGGTTTCTCTCACTAAAAAAAAAAAAAAATGTACTGAAAAATATCAGTGCAAAAAGGTGCAAAAATATTAAGTGAATGAATGACCAAAAATGAATTATCAAGTGAATTATCAAAAAGTTAATTCAGCTGGGTGCAGTGGCTCATGCCTGTGATTCCAACACTTTGGGAGGCTGAGGTGGATTGCTTAAGGCTACAAAGTTGAAGACCAGCCTGGGCGACATGGTGAAACCTCGTCTCTACTGAAAATACAAAAATTAACTGGGCATGTGCCTGCAGTCCCAGCTACTCTGGAGGCTGAGGTGGGAGGATCACTTGAACCTGGGAGGTCAAGGCTGCAATGAGCTATGATTGTGCCACTGCACTCCAGCCTGGGTGACAAAGTGTGACTCTGTGTCTTAAAAATAAAAAAGTAAAAGTGAACTCACTGTGTATCAGTAATCCAGGATAAAAAATAGAACTTTACTGACACCTCAAGAGCCCCTTTCAAGCCTCTTGCCCAAAAATAACTGTCATAGATTAGTTTTGCCCATTTGAACCTTACATCATGGAAGTATACAATATGTATTTTTTTGTGTCTGGCTTCTTTCTGTTAACATAATGTATGAATAAATAAATATAAATTTAAAAGCTGTCTTTTGATAAGCAGAAGTTCTAAATTTTAATGTAGTCCAATTTATTAAACTTTTGTTTTATAGCAAGTGCTCTTTGGATCCTGCTTAAGTAATCATACCTACCCTGAAATCATGACACTATTTTTCTATGTTATATGTTGGAAGTTTTTTTGTTTCACACTTAGGCCAATAATCTGTCTGGAATTGACTTCTTTTGCTTAATATCAAGATTCAAGTTTTTCCCCTTATGGATAGCCTGCACTGCTTATTTTTTTAAAAAACCCATCATTTTCCTCTGCCTTGCAGTGCCGTCTTTGTAAAAATGCAGTGTCTGGGCCGGGCACGGTGGCTCACGCCTGTAATCCCAGCACTTTGGGAGGCCGAGGCTGGTGGATCACGAGGTCAAGAGATCGAGACCATCCTGGTCAACATGGTGAAACCCCGTCTCTACTAAAACTACAAAAAATTAGCTGTGCATGGTGGCGCGTGCCTGTAATNTGGAGAAAAGCACGCCCCCTGCTTGCGCTCAGTCGCTACTTCCGCCCTCTAGTCTCTCCGAGCAAGATGGCGGAGGAGCCACAGTCTGTGTTTCAGCTTCCTCCCTCAAGTGCTGCTGGAGGCGAAGGTCTTACGGAGGTCTCCCCAGAAATAACCACTCCGGAGCCCCCTTCTTCCGCTGCAGTTTCTCCGGGAATAGAGGAACCTGCTGGCGACACCAAGAAAAAAAGTAACTCGGAAGTTTATTTCCGGGCAGAGAGGCGGGAGGTTCAGATTGCATCCGACTAGGGGTGGCGGCCAGTAAAGAAGCAAAATTTAGAGGAGCACTAGTCCTCGACGTACACTTTGACCAGTCTCATCAGAAGGAAAGAAGTCTACTTTTGATTTTTAAGACCTTTGAGTGTTAAAATACCATCTCTGTCCATAGGTGTAGTGCGGGTTACTTGGATGCCACACCTCTTTTTACAGTGTATTCTGAGTTGGCCAGACTGCGAGCTCTGTGAAGGAGAGAGGGAGCTTAGTGGGTGTCTCGGTAATTCCAGGTACTTAACACAGGAACTAATTATTTGAGTAGTGTTTTAAGGTGGTAGGGTTGGTCATTGGCAAAGGCTGGGTTCGAATTCACGCCTTCCGACTTACTCGCATATACTGTTTTCCCCCTCCCAATTCGTTGTGAATTCACGCCAGAAACCCAAAACGGAATTCTTAGGCAAAATGAAGACTGCTAAGGAAAAACTAAAGGCATAAATGTTACCTTTTTAAGAAACACGTTTTGGAACCTTTGTGAGTTATTTCATTGCTTGAGCCAGCTATCCTCAACCTTTTATTGCTTGAGAATTAGTTCGCCGTTGTAAAATACAGAGATTGCTAAGGTTACGTGTTCTAAAGCAGTCTGTGTAGAGTTAGAGTTGCCTATGAGAAAAGCAGCATGTAAACATCTTCAATGCACAGAGGCTGATTTTGTCCTAGACTAGTTTTCCCAGCTCACAATCTTAAGATGACTGTGGTCTCTGGCCGGGCGCAGTAGCTCACGCCAGTAATCGCAACACTGGGAGGCCGGGCGGTGGGGGCGGGGCGTGGGGGGGGAGGTGGAGCACTGAAGGTCAGGAGTTCGAGAGCAGCCTGACCAACATGGTGAAACTGTCTTTACTAAAAATACAAAAATTAGCTGTGCGTGATGGCGCGCGCCAGTAAACCCAGCTACTGGGGAGGCGGAGGCAGGAGAATCGCTTGAATCCGGGAGGCGGAAGTTTCCGTGAGCCAGAGCCGAGGTCGCGCCATTGCACTCCTACCTGGACAGTAAGAGCGAAACTCCGTCGCAAAAAAAAAAAAAAAAAATGCCTCCAGAACGCTTAAAAATAAATGCCTGGCGTTTTAAGGCACCATGTTTCCAATAATTTGTATGGCAAACATAGGAAACTCTAAAAAAAAAAAAAAAAAAATGCAGTGCCTGTATAGGTATGAATTTGTTTTTGAACTTCCTCTTCAGTTGCTTTGATCTATTTGTCTATCCTCTGGCCAATTACACACGGTTTTAAATTACTATAGCTTTGTAAGACTTGATATCTAGCAATAAAAATTTTCCATCTATTTTTCTTCTTTAAGTGTTCAGTCCTACAAGGGATGGTATGTATTTGGTTCACCCTTACTTTAATGGTTTCGCCCACTGGATCTCTATTATAAGCATAAAGTATGTTTAGTAATTTCCACTTCTTTGCTATGCCCTAACCTCAGATTTCATCCTCCAGCCTTGCACACTCCACCTACTTTCTTTTGCTCTGTCAAAGAAGCCAAAGCAGGTACTCATACAGTCAGTCTAGCCCCTCAGTGTCAGGCCCATCTCTCTAGGTTTCCTACTTCTGCCAGTTGCTGACATCCTGATTCTTCAAAGCCCTGTTCAAATTGATATATTTCAGGTCATGCCCAGCTTCTCTAGTTCTGAGTAAAAGGTTTAGTCTGAATTATCTACTCTGCTATTGCTGAAGGCAAAACTCCTATCCTATGGAATGATTAATTATATTTGAAAATATTTATAATAAAATTGAGGGATATTTAAAACACAAAAGAAAAATGCTCTCAAATTCAAATTACGTAACTTCTGAATCCATAGACACCAAACATGACCACTCGCTAAGGAAATGCTAAGAGAATGTTTTGCTGCTAGCAGATGTCCTCCGACAGGTGATGCCAGAGGCTCACTGGGCTAGAGTAGACAGCTGCTGAAACCAAGTTGGAAGACTGGGGCTACTTCTGGAGGTGGCACCACCTGCACAGGCACTGGTGACATTCGACCGGCCCAGACAAGTGATGCCACTTAGTGCCACCTACTTAGAACTAGAGAGAGAGAGAAACTGACTGCATTTTTCGCTTGTCAAAGCGCTTCTTGGAGCTGTGTCAGAGCACCTTATATAGACATGCATGTCACTGTGAGGTCTTTGATGTTCTTGTGAGTAGGCTTTGGTGTGCAGAAAAGACTGCTGCAGGTTTAGTTTTAGAAATAAGATTTTCAATATCTTAGTAATGATTGCTAATATTTAATGAGTGCTTATTACATGGCAGGAACTATTCTAAGAGGTCACACCTATTGACTTATTTAGTGTGTTGTTAATGTCAACGCTCCCATTTTACAGGTGAAGATGCTGAGGCACAGCCAGGTTAATTTTCCTGTCCAAGGTCATACAACAGTTAACAGAAATGCTAGGTTTTAAACCCTGGCAGTTTGGCTCCAGCAACCAAGCTTTTAACCACTGTATTCTGTTGTTTCTCCTCAAAGAGCCAAATTTAAACCAATTTAAGCTCTTTATAACAATTCAGCTTATGCATTTCATTATTCCTCGTGTAAGTCTAACAAACTGTAGCAACCACTTTAAAGAAGACTTTGGTTTATTGTTGATTCCATGTAGAAACTTGGTTAATTGAACTCCTTTAAACATTTTAAACTACAGTTATAAATTTAATATGTTCAATTTCCTTTTAAAGTGCTTGTTTGACTGACAAATAAAATCCTTCAAAAACTTAAGTTCTTATAAACGTAATATGTTAAACTTGTGAATATGATGAACCCTAAATTCCCCTGTATTCTAACACTGTACATTAATTTTGTAAGATTTCCACTTAAAATCACATACTTAATCACTCAGTTCACACTTTAATATCATGAGGCTAAACTGTTACTAAGAAGGTAAATTTTCTTAAATATTACGAACATAATATACAAAAATGCGCAACATTTCTTAATACAAAAATATCAACGTTATCAGTTTGAGTCGTTTAAATATTTGTATTTATAATTTAAAAAATTTCTGGGATTAAAACATGTTCGCACGGTAAGCAAACAAAGTTGTCATTCTAAACAAATTTGGGGGCTACTTTCCCAAGTTATTTTTGTTGTTGTTGTTTTCCTTTAGATGAGGTTTCTTAAAAGACCAGGAGTGTTAACCATAATTTGACCCGATTGTTATCAGCAACTTAGCCAGCATTTAGGCTAAAGCCACTTTTACAGTCACGATGTTATGATTTTCAAAATTCAAAGAGTGAAATGGTCCTCACACCACCACCCACCCCCGCTTCCTGGGTTAGGATGTTAGATAATTTTTTAAGTCTTACAGTGTCTATAACCTCTTCCTCAGGTAGATGAATGCTTAATTGGGTTCAATAATCTATTTGCCACTCGATCCCATTCTAATTTATTTTTTATTCTCCTCTCTGTTAGGACTATGCAACTTCTATGGATACGAATATAATAACTGGTTGAATTCCACATGTCTGCTGTGGCTTTTTCTGGCTCTGATTACAACTTCTGGCGATATGCACATACACACACCCCTCATATTTTCATGCCTACTTAGTGTCATAGACAGTCTATTGGTCAAGTATGGATATCCAAGAGAATCCCAAATCTAAACATGTACTTATCTGTGTTATAAAAGGGATAAATAAGAACATGCACACAATTTAAATGCAGAGGTGCTGGCTAAAGAAACATGTAAGCATTTGATTGAAGATTTGAATGAACATTTCAGACCAGCTTGGCCATTACTCATCAGTTGGTGGCATGATGTTCACCTCTATCCCCACCCCACCTGAAAAACATTTCCTTTTTCCTTTAAGACTTTAAAAAACAATGTGAGGGATTCAGAAGTTCATTCTCTTTCCTCCAGACCCAACACTTAAGCCCCTTGTACTTGAATTATCAAAAAGCCTCGGTAATTGCTTGAACATGTTAATTTATCCAGCAACCCTGCTGGCTTCATCTGACTGTATTTAAAGGATTTAAGGGTGACAGGGAACAGCTAGAGATAGACGTTTTGTCTGTGAATGCGGAGTCTGAGCTCAGAGACGGGTGTGCTGGGACTCAAGCTCACTTGGAGCGTTGAAAAGGAGTGGCTCTCTGCATGCTGGTATCGAGGCTTACCTTGCTTTTTCTCCTTTCTCTCCTCCCTCCTCCTGGAGCTCAGTCTCTCCCTACCACATTCCTTTTTGCTCCCTCACCTATTCTCCCTCAATCCAGAGACTATATCCTTGCCAGAGAGTGGTAGATCGCCACACCTGCCCCCAATCTTATTGTCGCTACAATTCAAGTCAGGAGCGGCTTGAATGCACGTATTGATAATCACAGCTGGGACTGCATAAGCAAAATAAAACCAGTAAAATAAGAGCTAGTGGATAGTCAGAGACCATGGAAAACCCATCGATTGCTGCTGCGGCTTCTTTCCATACGGCAGAATGAGTGCGGAAAAGCTAAGCTCTGGGTAATTCTAGCAAACAATGTGCTGTAGAGCATTATTTGTAAGTCCTGAAAATCAAAGTGGAACGCTAGCTTCCCATAGAACACGCTTCGTTAGTGTGGAACAAAGGGCTGTTGCTGGCTGGGTACAGCATTTTCCATTTTGCAGCATGGTGGGGGGTTGGGGAGAAGGGCAACAGGTAGAATGGAAGCTTAGGGAGGCTGTGCTGACCAAGTCTCTGCATCAGAGAGGGCCCCAAAGGAGAGCCACCCCTCCTTAGGTTAGAGCCTGCCATTACGGAGGTCAAAGATGCTAGCTCTGGGACCAACTAGCTGTGGGACCTTCAGCAGATGCTCATCCCAGGGGCCTCAGTTTCCTTCCTACTTCAATTGCAGGGTTTTTGTGAAAATAAAATATGACACAGTGATGTAAAGCATCTGTTTTGTATGCACTTATATGATTTTAGAGATACGCCCAGCATCACAATGGGGCAGAAGTATGTATCAAGGACAACCTGGTCAGGTCCCCAGGGAAACTGATGGTACATTCAATGGGGAACCAGCAAAGGAGTTCTTACAAAGTATGAATAGGGCAAAGGGAAACCAGAAAAGGATGCCAAATGCCCGGGGTTGGCACAGCAGAGAGAGGTTCTATCCCTGGGTCTGAAGGGCTAAAAGAGGAAGCAGGTTGTAGGTCTTGGAGAGAGCTGCAGCTGCAGAAGACGGCTGCCCCACAAAAGCTGCGGCCTTTGCTAGGAGAACTTGGCCGCCCCAAAGGGTGGCCCATGCAAGGAGGAAGCAGTGGTAAGGGAGTGATTGCCCTGATCCCACTCTCTCCTCCCACCCTCTGATCTCCTGGCAGAGACTTGCATTGGCCCAATCCAACAGGAGCTAGAGGACAAGGAAGCCCACCCTAGACCTGTATGACAGCCTCCCAGGCCCAGAGCAGCTGAAGAAGGGTAGAGAGGGGTTGTGGAAATGTCCGGCACCATGCCCCTGCTCTGTGTCCCAGGCCCCCTGAGTATTTGCCATACTCTTTGGTGCTTATCCACTTATATTTCGTTTATCCATATTAGACCCTTGGAAATGGGCTGCACCTACTCCAGTGGATTCAACACACGTTGGAAGGTTTGGGGCTGCTGATCTTGGTCAAGAACAATGATGTCATGCAGGCATCACTGGGATTCTCTTGGCCTTTCCTTCTTCGTCACCTCATGGTGACATGATCCTGGCACCTTATTGTCCTGTCTTCAGTACCTAACATGGTCCCTGGAATCCAGAGGATACTCAATAAATAATGAGCGACTAAAGGCATGAGTTCATGATGGCCTGACTGAC